GCATGTTGTACATCTCATAGTAACACATGGAGGGTACTTCAAGAGCAGCTCTTGTATCCTTATCTTGCAAATGTGCAGAATCTCTTGACTTCTAATCACTCACCATGGGAGAACTTCTGCCGATGGTTTATTGTACAAACTGCCGATTTGTTGTTTGTCTCTTCAGTCTTGTTTATGGATGAAGCAACATTTGGAAGAGATAGAATAACAAATTTACCCAACCAGCATTTTTGGGTGGATCAGAATCCCCATCATATAATACAGGTTAGACATGAGCATCAGTTTACGATTATTGTCTGGGCTGGAATTGTAGGTGACTGTCTGCTAGGTTCCCAGAATGTCTTACAGGTGCTGTCTACAGGGACTTTATTTTGAACACACCTCTCTTCCAGATCTGTACCCCTGCTAATATGAAGATGCATGTGGTTCATGCATGATGGGGGCTGTAGCACATTTTAGTTACATTATTTGCCATTATTCTGTCTGACATCTACCATGAAAGATGGATAGGTAGGGAAGGACTGGTTCCATGGCCTGTATGTTCCCCCAATATCAATCGTTTGGATTTTTATCTTTTGGTTCACTTAAAACAATTGGTTTATGTTGTAGACATTAATAATGCAGAGACACTTAATCAACATGTCATGGGTGCCTGCAAAACCATTTGACACCACATGGAGTATTTGAAAGGGTCTGCCAGTCAATGATCTGAGTACATGCATGTTGTTTTGGCATCAGGAATCTGTCCCCAAAGTCTGTAAAAGTATTTTGGATTGCAAGTTTGATTAAAAAGAACCAACAAGGTCTGTCTGTTTAATTTTTTATTGCATTTTTCTAATTTTTAGATAAGGTGTTGAGTATTGTGCTCGAAATTGTGGTTAAACTGTACAAATTTTGTATTTTGTTATTTTTGTTCAAGTACTTTTGACTTTTGCACTCATTATCAAGAACTGATGTGGTGTCTGTGTGTTAGACTTCCTTTGTCTACATCCTAGTATTCTTTGGGAAGCTGGATGTTTGAAATGATCTAGCTTGACGTCATGTGTAATCACTATTGGGAATGAAGACACACTAAAAGATTGTGATTTTTTTTGTATTAATTTAAATTTTTATTTTATTTTATTTTCATATTATTATATTAAAATATTCAAATATGTGCAGAAATTAATTATCATATGAACTTTAAGATACCTTCTCCTGTGATGAATTATATTTTATTTAATATGAGTTGTTTATTTTGTATCATAATAGCTTCTATAGTTTTGAGTCTTTCCTTGTATTGGGTGCTGGAGAGTATTTGGGCATTATCTACTGGTATTTGTCTTATGTTGATATTTGTACTTTGATCATTCTTGATGTGCTGGTTGATGTGTGCATGGATTACACTCAGTTTTCCTGAAAGTTTATTTTTGAAGTTTATGGACTCAGCAACAGAGTGGGGTGCAATTTAGCTTTAATAATACCATGTATGCCCAAGATGACAGAGTTTCGATGGGCAGTCCCCTGGGCCTGGTATTAGCTAACATTTTTGTTAGTTTTATGAAAGTATTTTATTTGTATTATATTGTAAGCCTCACATGTATCTATGTTATGCTGATGACACTTTTTCTATTTTCGATTCCATCAATGATGCTGAAGCTTTTCATACCCAACTTAATTCCCTTCATCCATCCCTTCAATTCACCATGAAAGTGAAAAACAGTTGTACTTTGCCTTTTGTGGATATACTAGTTGAATGTAAAGGTGGTTTGTTCATTACCAGTATTTATCGGAATAAATGTATATATGATTCAGTTGACTGCAATTATGTTAACCTACTTCTTAGAAAGACTGACCAGTGAGTTGAATGACTAGACATTATTGAAATGTTTTCTTTCTGTATTGAAAAAATAAAATTCCTGAGATTTTAGATAATTTTAAAACCCGTTTGTCCGAATTTTTTTATAGATAAAAAAAACTCTCTTTGTTGTTTGAGGATAGACTGAAAACTGGTTAACCAATGTTTGAACAAAATACTTTTTCTTCAAATATTAAGCATTCTTCTGCCTCTCAAGTCTGTGTTACCTTGAAGAAGGTTGATTGATATTTAGTTCTTATTTAATTTGTTGAATTCTTCAAAGTTTTGCTAAGTAAAATTTATAGAGCTTAATCCATTAAAGAGAAAAATATACATGATTTAAAAATATTGACAGTTTATTTTAAAAGAATTTATATTATCATATTTATTGTCTGATAGCTGTCCTTTTTAATTTTTGCTTATGGTTTCTTACATAAAGTTATTTTCATAATTCAGTATGTAATTGTCAGTATTATTTATTCTGAGGCAGATAGGTTACTTTTTGTGATGGCTACATGCTTTTATCATGTCAGGGTCACCACTTGTGGTAGCTGAGGTTAGAAACTATAATGCTGATATTTAAGAACTTTCAAAATAACTAAATACAATGTATTCATGGAGAATTTTACATAAATTCATACATAGAACAACATATACTTTTTTAATAATTTCATCTCAGGCAATGCAATAAAGCTACTAAGATTCAAGGGGTTACTAAGAGTGAAACAAACTGAGAAAATGTTATTAAGGAAAGAGAGGACAATAAAAGAACATGATTTAAAATGATAAATGATGATTATTGACATTGCATTTAAATTTTTGAAGATTGTATTTAACAGGAAAGCAAGAAACTAGAAGAGAATTCCACAGGTGAGAAGTGTGAGTGAAGAAACTATTAGAGTCAAACTTATGGTTACATTTAGCATTTTCAACAATAAAATGATGAGACCTAACTGCCAACTTCTTAAATTTATGAAGTCAAGGTACCAAAGCTTATCAGAACAATTGCCATGAAAATATTTATAGAAAAGGCATCGCTATCCTGTTACTGGCAAATATGGATAAACGTGCCTGCAATAAGATGTAATGTCAAAAGGATGGTTTTTCCCAAAACAATGTTTTTTTAAGTACCTTCACAGCAATGTTTATTGTTTTAAAAAGTGATGATTAGAATTGTAATAAAACCATAACATGTAAAAGTGAATTCATACATTTCCTTTGTTCTTGAGAATTTAAAACAAAAATAATAATAAACACTATTTTTTTTATTAGATTGTTTATTTACAGTATTTATTTAGTGTGTTATTTATTGGAATGGTTGGTAAAACATCAGCTAATTGCCAACTGAATCAAATTTTATAAATTGTTAAATAATCAGGATTTCCTTATAGTTGGTTCATATATTTTAATAATTTAGTAAATGTAGCCATCTCTTCTACTCCAATAGCTTCATGTCTCGCACCTCTCACCTGTGGAACTCCCTTCCCTATTCCTGTTCCCCTGTGAGCTATAATCTCCAGCTATTCAAGTGTAATGTCAATCGACATCTCCAGTTGCCTTGATCTATCCACTACTCTCATCCTCTTTTCTATCACTCCTATCTGATCTTTCTCTACATTTTCTGTAACCCCTTGCATCCTAGTGGCTTCCCGCCTTGCTTGGGGTGAAATGCTTAAAAAAAAAAAAAAAAAAAAAAAAAAAAAAAAATGTTTATAATTTTATGAATAAAAATTTGTTTTCACATTTATCTCTTTATAAATTGGTAAATGATAAATATTGCATTGTATTGATTCTAATTGTATTAGTTTTTAGAATGTTGTAAATATAAAATTATTCTTGTAAATAAACAATCTAATAATTATTGTGCTGCCTTGGACAACATGCTAAAAAACACGCTGCTTTAGACAGCCAGCGTAAACTCGAATTCACAAAACACGGACGAATTTCATTGGAAAACGAAAGATTTATTCTGTGAATCAGGTAAAAAATCTGAAAGAAAAAATAAACAAAAAAAAACATGAGTCCGCTGCGACGAAAGGGACAAAGAGGAAAGGAGAGACGAGAGACAGTGGAGGAAGCAAGAGAACAAAGAAAGAAAGAAAGAAGTAAGCTAACTTACTACCAGCAGCCGCAAGGCAGACGGTAGTGGCGAAGGTGGCTAAGACCAGCGAAGCACGGTCGATTTATTTGTTAAAAAATATGACAGCAACAAGTTCGGAAAGGCAACTAAGCGTTGAGAGCCAGAAAGAGGCAATTAACAATGGTAGACATGGTAAAGGAGTATGTCTAAACGACAGAGCAAAGTCAAACATAGAAAGATCCTACATTCTTTCTAAATATCAAAATTCAGGGCTCGAAAGCACAAACTTGTTGAATGAGCGTCCGAAAAATACGGAGGCAAAAACTACTTGTAGTGTTACCACAATACATTTTCAATACAAAGGCGAATAAAGAAAAACAAAAGAAGAATGGAATAAAACATACCAAAGTTATCAAGAAAGGCGGAGCGGCGAGTAAGGGTGCATGCAAGCAGGTACCGAACCAAAAAGAACTCTGAAGATCCCGCCAAAAGAAAACACACATCTCGTGGCTATCACGTTGCCGAGAGTAGATGATAACGGTAAGGCGTAATCAAAAAGGAAGGAAATAATGCTAAGGAAGACTAGTTTATTCTAGAAACACGTGGAAAGAGAGAGAAATAGATAAAAAAAATAAAAATAAAGACAGTAACAAAAAAGGGGAAGTCGCAGCGAGACGAGAGGTAAAAGGGGTAAACAAACAAAAACGGTGTACAGTGAATTTGTCCCTAAGGACAGAAGGTTGACGTTAAAAACGTGACACTCCCCGCCTGAGATTGTGAGATCTCAAAAAGTTCGTGTGAAGGTTTCTAGTTCAAGTTTGTTTTACATTTGAAAGGTTGAAGGGCATGCATCTGGCAGGGAAAGGAAGGAGAAAAGAAGAAAAGGGAAGGGTAGTAACAGTCCTGTGAAAAATACGGTTTCTTCCTGAATTGGCGAAGTTAGCGAGTTGAGCCGACTGACTGCTTGTTGTCGGTTATTAGGGAGTCGCAGTCTGTATGGCTTGAATGGAAGAGGTGCTACCCAGCTGCGGTGACTATTCCTTTTCACACCTTTTTCCATGATATCAAGGAAGATTCTGTCCTCTATGGAGTAGGCCAGTCGGTCGTCCTCCTTGGTCGGTTGAAAGACGGAGCTGCCCAATCCTTTCCGCAGTATCTTTCCTTGGCTCGGAATGTGTTGGGACAAGGCTCAAAAGTTTGTTGGGCGGCTTCCTTCTCGGTGCTGGTGAAGAAGGTGTCAACAGTGGACGGTTTATCGTCCCCCGAGGCATCGTTCCCCACTATCACCCAGCCCATGTCTAATTTCTGAGCATAAGGGCGCTGTGAGGACCATTGATCTGGGCGTGAACCTTATGTACTTCAATAATGTCACGACCAGGAGTAGCAAAATAGGGCCCGCTGGTCCAAGTTAGGAATCTCCGCTGCTATTCTAGCCAAGTGTTTGTGGTGAAGGGCTGCTTCTGGTGTTGGGATTTCTTGATTATCCGCACATCAGCTTTTCGATTAATGTAGGAAGGGCAGGCTGGTGTGTCCATCTATGGATTCAATTCTGTATCCATAGGCTCTTCTCCCAACCGTTTCTATGACTCCAGCGCAAGTCCTAAGTGAGTAAGAAGATGTGGGGCCGTGGTCACTGAACAACTCGAAGAACTCTGGGCGAGCAAGTGACTTGTTGCTATGTTCGCCGATCACGGCATACATCCTGACTGCCTTGTTTCTCTGGCCTTGTGGATGCACCTTCACCAGGCAAATTTTTGAACAAGATTTTTCGATTAAGTTGCTACCACAAACCTGTGTGCAGTGGGCTGTAATATCGTTGTTCTCCCCGCCATGGTTTGGCATGGCTCTGATGGGTGTCGTTTGTGGTGCGGGTTCAGGGTGAAGAGCAGTGTTGTGGCTTTCACTGCCACACTCAGCGCATTTAGGCTTGAACCTGCAGTCCTTGTTGACATGGGTAGCGCAACGCCGGAAACAGATGTTGTGTTGTCTCAGATAGGCTTGTCTCTCTGGAAAGGGTTTGCTTCTAAATGCCCGGCAACTACTGAAGAGGGTGAGGCAGGTTATGGATGGGGCATATCTCTTTGATATCTTTTGATGCAATCTGAGTCTTGTGGACTGAAATTTCTTTCCGCTGTGGTGTGGTTGTTGGGGTCCATGTTTTGCGAGGGCCAAGTATCTGTGGTAAGACGAAAGCTGGGGTCGTTCCTATCTTCTGCTTGTTGTCGTGCCATGGGAGGTCCATTGGTCTCGTAGTGTAGGCGGAAGCTTCTCCACAATAGGCCTGAGACCCCGAGCAGTGTCCAGGAGGGCAAGGCCGGGGAGATCACCATCGTCCTTAGCTGCTTGAGTTCGGTGAGGAGGTCGCTTAGCTCCCTCAGTCTGTCGTGAGTCCTTGGTTACCTTTGGGAACCTATGGATCCTTCGAAGAGTGAGTCTTCGATGGCTTCAGGGGACCCGTAGCATTTTTTCCAAACGCTTCCATATTTCCTGCAGGCCCTTCTCAGGATGGTTAAGGTAGGCTGTCCTTAAACGGTTGGCATGCTCAGTGGAGGCAGGGCCGAGCCATTTCACAAGCAAGTCCATTTCTTCACTGTGTCAAACGCAGGTCGACAATGGGAGTTGCGAAGGAACGTCTCCATGCTCGATAGTCCTTAGGTCTGTCCGAGAATTTCAGCATACTGGCTTGAAGTAATTCACGCCGGGCGAAGTAACGCATTAAGTCACTGGAGTGGTCATGGCGGTTTTCAGTTGAGCACCTCCTCCGATGATCCTCAGATGGATCGGGGAAGTAGCGGAAGGAGGCTTCTGAGTTGGTGGGCTGATCGAATTGAGATGCAGGAGAGCGTGTGTGTTGCAGGGCAGATGATTGTACCAATTGCGGGGCAGCAGGTTGTGAGTTGAGTTGGGCCGACTGTTCGCCACATATTCTAAATGACGCTGCATGGGATCAGCAGGAGTCTGGTCAAGGTGGATGCTGGATTTTTTTCACTAAGCGAGACATACTCTTCAAAGGCCTTTAGTGCGGCTTCTTTGAGAGCTATCTCTCTTTGAGCCTCTAGAGTTTTTTCTTCAGACTCCATTTTAGCCTTTGCTTCGCGCAGTTTATTCTCTCTCTCCACGAAGAGCAGGCCTGCTTTAGCCATCTCCAGTTCGGCACGGACAGCTAAGGCCTTAGATGAGGCAGAAGAGAACCTGGAGCGCGTTCTATTAGAGACAACGGACTTTTGGTCCATGGCGTTTGTTGAAGCGTGCTGGGATCTGTTGCAGAGAAGGGTAGACAAAGAGTGCCGGAGCGTCACGGGTCGTTGAAAAGGCTAATAGCTGTCAAATTAGTTTTACGCCGGGAGCAGTCCAGTAGAGAAATCCGCAAGGAGCCGTGGGAGAGGAAGCTGGTCACACTGCATTATGGAAGACCTTGCGCCACGTGCGAATAAATCTTTGATTTTTTACTGTGCTGCCTTGGACAACATGCTAAAAAACACGCTGCTTTAGACAGCCAGCGTAAACTCGAATTCACAAAACACGGACGAATTTCATTGGAAAACGAAAGATTTATTCTGTGAATCAGGTAAAAAATCTGAAAGAAAAAATAAACAAAAAAAAACATGAGTCCGCTGCGACGAAAGGGACAAAGAGGAGACGAGAGACAGTGGAGGAAGCAAGAGAACAAAGAAAGAAAGAAAGAAGTAAGCTAACTTACTACCAGCAGCCGCAAGGCAGACGGTAGTGGCGAAGGTGGCTAAGACCAGCGAAGCACGTGTCGTATTTATGTTAAAAATATGACAGCAACAAGTTCGGAAAGGCAACTAAGCGTTGAGAGCCAGAAAGAGGCAATTAACAATGGTAGACATGGTAAAGGAGTATGTCTAAACGACAGAGCAAAGTCAAACATAGAAAGATCCTACATTCTTTCTAAATATCAAAATTCAGGGCTCGAAAGCACAAACTTGTTGAATGAGCGTCCGGAAATACGGAGGCAAAAACTACTTGTAGTGTTACCACAATACATTTTCAATACAAAGGCGAATAAAGAAAAAACAAAAGAAGAATGGAATAAAACATACCAAAGTTATCAAGAAAGGCGGAGCGGCGAGTAAGGGTGCATGCAAGCAGGTACCGAACCAAAAAGAACTCTGAAGATCCCGCCAAAAGAAAACACACATCTCGTGGCTATCACGTTGCCGAGAGTAGATGATAACGGTAAGGCGTAATCAAAAAGGAAGGAAATAATGCTAAGGAAGACTAGTTTATTCTAGAAACACGCGGAAAGAGAGAGAAATAGATAAAAAAAATAAAAATAAAGACAGTAACAAAAAAGGGGAAGTCGCAGCGAGACGAGAGGTAAAAGGGGTAAACAAACAAAAACGGTGTACAGTGAATTTGTCCCTAAGGACAGAAGGTTGACGTTAAAAACGTGACAATTATTGTTTAATATTTTTGTTGTAAATTCTCAAGAAGAAAAACAAATGTATAAATTTATTTTCAGCATGTGTTTATGTTTTATTCCAATTATAATCATCACTTTTAAAACAATAAACGTTGCTGTGAAGTTACTTAAAAATAACAGACATGAAAAAACATCCCTTTGACACTACATCTTATTGCAGGCACGTTTATCCATGTTTTGCCCATAATAGTGAACCAAGAATTTGCACTGCAAATTAAAGCATCTTATGTCAGTTTGTGATACTGATTTTATGATATCACTCACCTCATCTTAGAAATGTTCATGATGACCAGTTTCATTTCATCATGGTATTGCTAGCAGCTTTGATGTGTGAAGTTGATGGTTTTTTTGATCACTTCTTCTAGCATGTCATCATCATCATTGACATCATCATTATTCTTGCTATCTTCTTCATTGTTGAAATGCTGTAAAATCAATTTATCACTAAAAATTAGCTGAACAGCAATTATTTCATTGTCAATGGACTCAACATCGTGACTGAAATAATTTAGAGAAGGTGCAATTCGTAAAACACAGTGCTTTGAGTAAAGTTTGATTCTTCAGTTTTATAATTGAAAAGCCTAGACACATTGAAATTCCATTGTAATTGTTCAGTAGTATTGTGTACTGCCAGTATCCAACGTGTGTATGATGGAAATTCTTGCAGAAAACATCAAAATGTACTTACCAATCATCAGGTTCAAAAACTTTGAAATAAAATGTCATATGTTATGAGATCTTGTGAGAACAAGAGCATATGAAGTCCAGAAGAAAGTGAAAAATTATCAACAAGAATTGAACCAGAAAAACAAAATGGATAAATTTGTTGTTGCTGTTATTAAAGAGAATAAAATAATTGCCTGTTTAATGAAAAGCAAAAACTGGTAGATTTTTTAAATCTTCGTTTTTATGTTTTGCAAACAAGTGATTTTTACTGCTGTGAAATAACTGTTAGTGAAAAAGCAGTTAACCTTAGAAAAATCATGGGAATGTGAATGATGTGCTTACTGACATTCACAGGTGTTGTCAAATACAATGGACTATTAAGTAAAAAACTTAGTAAACATTTTTCTTTTTACTCATTCCACCACAAGCAAGGCAATAAAGTCACTAAGATGCAAGGAGTTACTGAGTGAGAAAATGAAAACTTTATTAAGGAAAGACAGCAATAAAAGAACAGGAATTAAGGCAAATAATGATGATTGACATTGCATTTAAATTTTTGGTAATCAAAGGTTGACTGAAAAGCAAGAAGAAAAGCATTATAGTGGGGGAAAAGTGACTGAAGCTGAGATGCCAAGTCAGAACCAGTAGCATTGCAGATTTTTCTTTGCATTTTATCAAGAATGTCTAAATATATTGCAGAAGCACTAGACCATATGTCACAGCAATATTTAATGCTTGGATGAAGGGTAGACTTATAAATTTGTAAGATAAATTCGGTCAAGAAAAATTTAAAAAAAAATTTTGTTTTGAATGAAATGTTCTCTTCCTTTCCATCACTCCAACCATTCATCAGTGACTGCAAGAAAAAATTTTCCCCCTTAATGAAAAACTCAACATGCAGCTTACACCAAATTCATGAACCAACACTGTAAATCACTAGGCTATTGCTCTATAGGATGATTCTCTGTGGTGTAATTGTGAGTTCAATCCATATGATTATGGAAGTTAAGCAATGTCAAGCATGGTCAGTACCTAAATGGGTGACTGCTTGGGAATACCAAGCTTGTAGTTGGTGTAATTGATAATGGCTCAGAATTGTTAATCAGAGAGCTGAGTTGCAAATCGTATTGGTTTTGTTATATCCACTTACACAGAAATACCCTTGGGAAAGGTATAAACCTACCTCTTCTTCTTGATTGAGATTGACTTTGAATAATTGAAGATTATCATTATCAGGGAAGGAAGTAAGAGGAAGGGAGTTCCATACACAGGAAGTGTGAGACATAAAGCTATTGGAGTAGAAAAGATGGCTACATGTAACAGTTTCGACAGTGAAAAGGTGGGACTGAGATGCCAACCTAGTAGCACGCTTAAATTCATGTAGTTTGGGAACCAGTGAAAGTAGCTCGTCAGAGTAGTTACTGTGAAAGTATTTGTAGAAAAAACAGAGGGAAGCGATGGCATATCTGTGAGAAAGAGACTGTAGAATTGTATTACTATTATCTAAAAAAATTCTTCCAATCTAAAATTATTTTCTGGCTTTAACTAACCTGCAAAGGGTTGATAAGCCATCAAAGAAGAATCAACTAAAAACCAAACAACTTATAGTCTTTCTTTGTTTTACTATTTTTTTTTTTGTTTTTTAAAATAAATAATGGCATGTACTACATCCAGTAAGTACCTGACTCTGTGATATGCTCTACCTTTACAAGAGCCAGATCAGGCTGAAAATTACTACTACCATATCTAGGATGGAGCTGCCCAGTGTTCATTTTCCAGTCTTGAGTCTAAAAGCATCTATACAGCCTTGTGGTTGATGAATTGTTCTCCACCTTACATTCCACTTTCCCACAGACAAAACATTGCAAGCCTCTCATTAAGCTATCACTATTTCCATGGAAAATGTTTGAATGAGATACATTCCTTTTTTCCCCCAACTCTAATCCCCCCACCCATCTAAGACCAGTATGTCATGTATATTGAGATAACACACTCTCATTCCCTTCATATTCCTTTAGTAAGGAGCAAGTACCACTAGGGTAGCTTCTTCCAAAGAACTAGATGCTTTCTTGACCACTACAATCTTAACCTCTTCTAGTCTAAGGTTAACTGCTATCTTTCTCACATAAACTGCACTCTTCAGTAACACTCTACCTTAGATGGCTCTTGGGCTTGTGTAGAGTGAATATTAGTAAAAAAAAGAAGCAAATAAGATTTTCTTAAATTTAAAATGGCTACAATTTAGAATTTAATAAATTAAGAAAATTTAGGACATACTTTTCTCTAAAAAAATATAACTCTATAAATTTAAAAAAATGTAAGCTTCTTTCTTTTTTTTTATTAAGAAAATATTAATGTGTAATTTTGCAGTGAAAGAACATAAAATAAATATTCATTTCCCTTTTTTAATTTGTATTAAATGAAAGAAACAGACTAGAAAAGTGAATTAGTCAGGTGAACAGAAACAAAGCAAAATAATAAAATTGATTATCAGTGGTGAATTTATAGTTGTTTGGGTGTGTATTTAAAGAAAAATCTGTTTAAAAATAGTCACCCTACATTTTCATCTTTTAAACTTTTTTTCTTTCTTTTCGTGCAGACTCATCTGTTAGCATATCTATATTTCTTTAAAGGGCAAGTCAGCAGAATCAGTAATAAAAAAACTGGTTTGGGAAGTGAAGATATCCCATAATATCTTTATAAATAGAAGGCAATTTGATTTCACTTGCAAAGTATATTGCTTCATAAGTAGTAAAATCATCATTATACGTTCATGCCAAAATATATCCTAAATTATTATGCATTCATACCAAAAAACATCCTAAATCTACAATATTTAAGCATTATATTGCATAACCATTTAAATTTACTTTGAATAGGAGCTAAATAGTTAGATCTTTGGTTAGCCATGAAGTTGTGAGGATTAAACTACCTTGTCTAACAGGATGCCTGCTAGTTAGTGATCTACTTAGAACTACCATTTTTTTTTGCTCTGGAATGTAGCAGTGACAACAGTAGTGACAACTCATTCCTAAATACTCTGCTATAATCTGCTACATTGTTTCCCCATTCTTATTCATTCCTTCCACTATCATTTGCACACATATTCACTTGTTCTTCTTCTATGTGCTATGTTCCTTCAGTATGTTGGCAATATGGCTCTCCACAACTTAATGGCTGTATCACATTGAAACATTGGTTCCTGTATGATCACTGAAATTAAGCAACGTTGAGCCTGGTCAGTATGTAAATGGGTGACTGCTTGGGAATACTATGTGCTGTAAGCTTGGGTGAGCAATTGGTTTCAGCGATAATGTCTCAGAATTGTTAATTGCTCTTGGTCTCATTATATTCCCTGATGTGCAAATACCGTTGGGGAAGTTATGAATCAACCTCTTCCTCTCCCAGCTATGGGTTAATTAGTAAAACTTATATCCCTAAACCATTATTATCTAAAAAAAAAAAAATTCTTATAAATTAAAAATATTTTCTAGCTTTAAATAAAAATGAAAGGGGTTGATAAGCTGTAGAAAATGAATGAATGAGTCAATCAACTTTTGCCTCTGGGAGGTACATCCTGGAAAAGGTGATAGCTTAATTTCACAAAACCACCTGGAGCAACACAC